TGACATTATACTCATTATAAACTAAAAAATAATTATTTTTAATAAAGTCTTAACATAATATAATCATAATAAATGCGCGTTAAACCATGCATACCTGGTGAATCTGCTTGAATTTGTTGTCTTATTTCAATCGCGAACTTGGAAGAATGAAGATCGAATATTTCATAGTTTTTCAATGGCCTATATCGTATTACTCTCTTTATACTTCGAGCACGGCCTTCAGATATACGATTGGTTTGTGTCCCGTTCGTGTCACCCTTGTTAGAATTATCCAACCCATTAGTTTCTAATTCAATCGATACAGCTTTCGGCGAAATGTTCATTTCATTATCCATATCATTATCCATAGAATTCTTTGAATTTACATTAGTTGAATTTAATACATCTAAATTGTTAGTTAAAGGATCGGTTATTTCTTGAAATTTCAAAGCAGTACTCAACGAAGCGAGCATTTCCAACCCTGAACTGCTCTGGGATGAATTATTCGTTGTCGATATGTTTGCACCTGATGTATTTAATGAACTAGATTTCATTCCAGCTGATTTAACTTCTAACGAACTATTGTTATCTATTGTGACATCCGTCAATATTTGTGACTCAGAATGACTACGATCAGTAGTCCGAACACTATCATTCACTAAATTTGAACCCATGTCAGGTGCTCGATTCTCATCTAAGTCCATTTTCGATGAATCAGGCGAAAAAGATGAAAATGTTCCATTTGTGGGTGTTAATGGTGGAGTAAGTGGTTTAGAACTGAAATTCAATCTTCCAGCTGATTTGTGACATTGTATTTTTGAATTATTTACATCTAATGGATATTTTGGTAATTTTATTGACCGAGATTTTGTTGTTGAGGATCCGATTGTAGTCGTTAGTTGTCTTCCGGGAAGAATTACAAAAGAAGGTATTCCTTGGTCTGGCAATCCTTGAAAAGAAATCGGTTTTAACCCTGAAGGTAACCTTTCACGAAAACTTGGCGACATTTTTGTCAAACTCCATTTATACGGCGGTTTCTTTAGAGTAAAAAGAAATGTGCTTATTTAATCAAATTTTTCGTGATCATTAGAATACACAAGTTTGCATAAATATTATGGATGGAACGAATACCTGAGTAGGATTTTTGTATGGACTACCAAACGCTCGCTTATCATCTTTCTTTTTAGCTTCGGCATTATCTTCTTCGAATGGGTTTCTAAAATTATCTTTTTTGATCATTTTATTCATCTCCTCCTTGTTAAAATTTCCCATATCTCCAGTACCAACCGAATTAACAGAATCTACAAATATTCTACTATGAGAAATTATAAAGTTACAAAGGTAAATTCATCTCATAAAAAACCAACCTGTTTCAATCGGCACATTTAATGACTCCCGAAATTCACGTCTTATTGTAGATGTAACGTCTAGCAAAGATGTCACATCATAAATCTACAAAGTTAAAATGAAGTTTCCGAATAAGAAAAAGCATAATAACTTTTAATAATAAGTGTCAATGAGTTTAATACCAACCGTTTCTGTTAATGGCATCGTCCTTATTACACTCGGCATCGCCTTTGTTACGCTCTTTAAATTTAAACAAAAACGAGCGATTAGCTATCAATTAAAAATTACCGTATTTATCATAAGTAAGCAACACTTCTCACTTTTTTAAATACAGAACAGCGGGAATAACTTGGCTAAAGATCTCATTGCAATTTTCGCTAATCTCTGACATTTAAAAAGTGGGGGGTAGAGAGTGTAATGCTTATTTACGATAAAATACGGAATTAGTAATTTTGGACACATACCCAACGATTTGCCACAATGTCTTTTCTCATTTCATCCAATTTTGGGCTTGCGTATTGTTGTACGATTTGATTTACTAACGTATCAAGTCCATCTGTTTTTGGTTTAGTAAAAAGACTAATATCAACAGTCCTATCAAGACTACATGCGGCAAAAACCTTAGAGAGTGGCTTTAAAAAGGAAATAAATTTTAAGTTATATTTAATTAAATATAATCCGATAACATGATATAGACATATTTATTACCTGTAAATAGTACCAAGGTAAATTTTTCCG